TCTCTCTCTCTCTCTCTCTCTCTCTCTCTCTCTCTCTCTCTCTCGGTGTGTGTGAATGTGTTGGCCTGTGATTCCTGTGAGCCACCCATGCAGAGATGCGTTGAACAGCGGGCGGGGCAAAAAATTCGTTGACCGTTGGAATCAGGCCGGTATTTTCGTCAAATTTAGAATGGCAAGGTGCCCCCGGTTAGTTCCTTCCCTTGACCATAAGCCGAACCCCACCCCCCACTTTCAAACCCCCTCTCCCCCCCGTCCGCCTTCTCACGTAGAATGACAGTTACAAGCCCCAATACAAACGCAAAAAAACAATTACCGCGCATCGCTTAGAATCCGTAGAATACATACCAACTGCGAAGCTCCCGACAAGAAAAAAAGAAGATGGCAGCTCCCGGAACGCTACCTCGAAGCCGCGCGTGCACCCTTCCACCTCGTGGTTTTCCCGGGTAGGAGACCCTTCCCGACAGCGTCTGATGCCAACGCAAAAGACGCCTTCTCAAGATCGTCCAAATTGGCCCTCATGTACGATTTAAACGGTTTGATTCCCACTTCCCTTGCTGTTGGATTTCCCACGATGACAACCCCATCGCCCCTAACCGAGTCGCACCCCCTACTCTCCCAGAATACGGCGCGTACTCCTCCGATTTCAATCCTTGACCAGTCACGAGAGTTCGCAATGCCGTCGACGATCGATCACACTTCCACCCGTTCCAACACTGACCGACGGCAAAGTGTGCCATTCCATCGAGCTGCGGATAACAGGACACCAGTTCAAGCAAAACTTCGAACCCGCCGATGCCTACCACACCCGCAGGAATATCACCGGTCCCGTCCCATTCCCAGTCGAACGTGGCAAACTCAGGACAAGTCTTGACTCGCGACACGACTGCTTCGTCATCGTTTCCTTTAGACGCCTCAAAGCAGCACCTTTTCCCTCTATCCGCATAGCGCCACAGTGCCGGGGTAAGCAACTGCAGCTCCCCTTCCCAAATCGCCATGTTGCCTCGCGTAATACCGAACTCCTTGTGAACAATACCGTTACTGCACCCGAAGAGTTCCGATGGTCAGCGCATGAAAGAATTGGGCACAGTCAAGACTAGACAAAGTACCCTCCCACCGTCGCCCCATGCCGCTGCGGTTTGACTGCCATTCCGGAAAATGATCCACGAGATGGCGCCTCATCCTACCAGCGGTATGCAACTTATTCTCTCTCTCACCAAACCCGCTTTGACAACTCGAAAAAAATGATGTTTGATTGGAAGGTCCACCGGATGCGTTTGTGGAAGTGTTTGACCGAGACTATCTTCCCGGCAGTCGTGGGCATTTTGTTGCCCCGACAGAAAAACGCCGACTCTTCTTTCCCACCCGCCGTATCCAAATAGACGATCTTACCTTCCGCGACCGTTCTCTATTCTACCCACAAGTTCTAAGCCGCCGAATATGTGGCGTGAGTCGAAGGAGCAACTCCCACCGTCGAGAGTAGGACCGCAAGATCTCCGAACATGCCATTCCACTTGCCTTCCCCAATCTGACCTCCTGCCAGCGCGCATGAGGGGGAGGAGACAGCTCAGTTGGTCTACGAGGAAACATCCTCACGTGTCCACCGTCAAATTCCGTCGGCCAAAACGTTCTCAATGATAGGGATGTGTGCTGCATCGAAACACCACACCGCCGTCATCTCAACACGCCCAGCCATCGCATAATAAGCGCGACGTGTGGCTTCCGTGTACCCCTACACTTGTTTACCCACGTCACAGCGGAGGTATTATCACCGCGAAAGAAGAACAGGTTCCCCCGTGACGACGGGCCCGTCGTTTAGTATGAAGGTCATCACATGCGCGTTGATAACCATGGCCAATTCTTCACACATATTGATGGACAGAATATTCTGCCTAGAGCACGTAGCCTTATCGGAAGAGCGACCTTGCTCCTCCAGAGACAGATCGTACTTCCACCACAAACCCCGCTCGCTGCAATACCCCCCAATAGCTTCGACCGTAGCATCGGAGAACCAATGCCGCGTCGGTTCTCCGTGCACATGATCATAGCACGGGTAGTACAGGGATGCACCCTCCGCCAGTAAGCGTTGGCGCGCCGCCTACCTCCACCGCTCCACATCCGCGTGAAATTCCTCACCCAAGATCACGGTGGGTTATTGATGACCGTCAACGCGTGTTGATAGTTGTCTGCAAGCCCGGTGACAAACCCAAGCCGCCACACAAAGTACTTTCCTGCCCGCACTACCGTGGTTGGGTGTCGTAACTTCCCAGTCAAACTTCATAGTTCGAAGAACTTCTTTTGCCCTCGCCCGTCGACGCATGTTCGGCCAGTGCTTCCAATGCTTCCTCGACCTTTTTGGTGGGCATAGCAAAGGTCATCCTCTGCGTGTCGATGGTATACCCCGACACCTCTTGCTGAACGGACCAGTCTGTGAGTTGTTCTGCTGCATGACCGGCACGATGCTGTCTGCTGTGGTTCCAAACATGCGGAGGTGGTCGTAAACAGCAGATCTAGTTGCTACAAGCAAAAGTTCTTCATTTTCATGAGGGCAGGCTTCCAGGTTGATGATTTATGGACATGCATCTCGCCGAAAAATGCCAGGTGTGTGCTTGCTAGCAAACGGCTCAACGGATACACCCGGCGGTGCTCAAACGGCCGGCTCCCCCGGCGGGGACACCCGAACCTGCATGTTGCGCGTAATTTCGTCTGCCCCCTTCAATACGTTCACGTTGAAATGGTTCGTGTGTCTGTGCGGAGTGTACAATAGCCGACACCAACAAGAACCACCACCCAGGAGAATTCCTCCACCCAAATGCCATCCGAAAATGGATCACCAGAAAAGCTCCACGACATGCGAAATGACGGGTGCGTTTTTCCACTCACTATGGATTCGACGAAAAGCATCCGCCACGGCCATCTTTGCGCAGTAAATAGGAACCCCGCCGCCGTTCGTTCCCCGTAAAGCACATGCATACCTCGTAACGCTTAGCGACCCCACAGATTCCACTGACGAGTGCCGTTTCGAAACAAGTGTCATCGTTGACCCCCGTCCAACTGTCGCCCACCACCACCCGCACCAAATGAAAAGTCCAGTATCACCCGATTTTTTCTTTTGATTCGACCACTGCTAGCGGAGAAAGACGAAAATGCTTGATCGTTCGAGCCGCGTGTGCAGCAGCACCACCCGGCCGTGAACAATGTCTTCCATGAGTCTTTTCCACAACGTCTGTTGGTGAGGGGATAGGATAGAATTTTGTGCAGCGTCCAAATGACCACCTTCAACGACACTAACCGATACCCCTTCGTACACTAGCTGCATCAGTCTCTGCATGTCCTCAAACGCTTTTGATCCAATGACTTTCAAATCAGTAGAGGGCCTCCGCGTTCTGCCATCAGCTCGCCTCCGAGTCGACGCGCGGTGTTCCCAAATAGGCATCGAAACGCGTCGCCAACTCGGTTGCACATCTGCCAAATGAGAATTGCACTCTCTGTTTCGTTACTTGATCCGAGTAAAATGTCACCGAGTTGTTGGCGCAGCTGGAAGCACGATCGGCGAAGGATACCTGGCCACTCGTGAGTGCCTGGAAGTTAAGAGGAAATAGCAAACGTGCTACAGTAGGTTCGAAATCCGCTGTCCAAGAGCCGATTAGCCTTCCTTCCGGCGTGTGTGTGATGCTGTGTTGAGACAATGAGCATCGACACCCCACACCAACACCGATCCGCCAGTGTCCCCTGCCATTTTCCCAATGAATGTTGACATTATGTTTCGCGAACCCCAAGTCCAATGGGAAACAGGAAAAAGAATATATCATTGAACCTGCTGTGCCTCCCATCTATGCCGTTTGGCGTTCCGTATGCTTCGGTGCACTCTACGTAGTACCCGGAGAAACATAGGAACGTACTGCCAAGCCTCTTCCGCCATGTCCCTCCCCATGTGTTTCGGTGAACTCGAAGTCCCCAGAAAAACCACGGGCGTGACTGTCATACCGTGCCATCCTTTCAACAGTAAATGCATGGTTCGGCGAACGGCAAGTCCGCTAGGAAACGATCATTGAACCTGCCATGCCTTCCATCCACGCCGTGTGACGTTCCATATGTTTCGGTGCACGTACCCGGAGAATCGCAAGAACGCACTGCCAAGTCCCCTCCACCTTGTCAACCCCGTGTTTCGGTGAACTCGAAGTCCCCGGGGAAACAACGAACGTCACTGCCATTCCACCCGCTCAACCCTTTCAGATATAGGTATAGTTAGTTGATTTGCTTTGTTCATGTGGTATTGAACGGTTTGTACAGCAGTATCATTTGGTACAATTTGGTGCGGCCGAGATATCATTGCCTGCGTTCTGTTCTCCGTCTTACAGAGCACGGGGGGAAGAAGGCAAGGCCAAGTGCACGAGCTCACGCTGTCTGGAAACCTCTTTGCGGGGCGAGGCTACACCACGGGAGGGAAGATCTCCGTCGACCGGCTCATTGTTCCCGTCGGAAGCGCTCTCCCCAGACTTCGACATGTCTTCTTGCGACAATGTTTTCCACCTCGACGTCGACTACTATAGCTTCTACGATGGCTGCTACGAGGTCAGCACTACCACTACCATCAACGGGGAGTACGCCTACTTCTTGAACGGAATTGAGGAGGTGGACTCGTATGTGGTATATGCCGCAGTGAACATCGTGGATGATAATGTGAGGATGGTTCGGGCATGGCAATTCCTACTTGGTTTATCTGCTACGGGTTGGTCCGTGCTGATATCTCGATTGACGAGACACCCATTGTCTGACTATAATCGTTGATATCACCTGGAACAACTCAGTTATTGGATTGGAAAGTGTGCTACAGTATATTCACCGTGTTCCAATCTGGTACATATTTAGTGTTCTGCCAGCGATCAGCCGATGATAGGAAGAGCACATCGACGGTGAATAAGAGAGAGGCGACACGACACGCTGAACGGAACCAATCTCAGTGCTACCTCGCTAGACCAGCCCCCTCGGCCGAAGAAGGAGAGTCAAAGGTCCCTATTAACGGTCCCTATCTCTGGTCGTGCCGCATCACTTTAGACAATATCGACAATCTTGAGGAAGGAAAACGACGAACCTCCCTGTGGCGACTCACCACAAAACGGGACGTCATGTTGGGGACGTGGTCGCACACAGAGTGAAGTTGGGCTTGGCTTTCGTGCATAGACGATGCAAATGTCAAAGCCGTCAGCCCCTGCCCCTGCGGAGGAAGACGTCTACAAAATCCGGCCTCACGTTTGCTTTTGTCGGGATCTCTGGAGAATTAGTTGTGAGCTAGTTGAGTGGGTGAGCGCCACCGCCGTGAGCACAGGAGAATGGGGTTCTGGTGTGCAGCTTGCACATACGACGGAAAAGAAGCCGTTGCTCTGTTGTCGCATCAATGTCCAGGCAAGAACGTCTGATGATACAGGGAATACAGCTCACACCTCCTAGTTTTTTCTTACAAGCGGGCCGGCGCTGAATGTCTTCGAAAATTTCTACACGCACTGCACTTGGACGGGACACCAGGACAAATTCTTGGTAAGACGCGTTGCCTAGTCTACACCATTGGCCGGGGACTCTTCACGTTGACATGCAGCTCGTCGGCCACGTTCCCCATGGGGGGGAGCGGAAAGCCCACGAAAAAACAGCCCATGGGTAACCCATTGTGGACATCGTACTTTTTTTCTGCGTTGCCGAGGATGGATATGTCACTCGACCGTTTGGGCTGCATGCACATCATGGTGGGCATTCATCCATCCGCCTATCACGGGCAGTCCATGCTCGTGATGGACATTTGATCACGTGACTGCCGTGGCCATGGGTACTTGCTGGAGTGCCCACGATGTGCGGCCCATTGGTAATCCATGGGCAGCACATGATCGAAAATTGGCCATGGATCCCATGATGGGCCTTCCCGTTTGTGCCCATGGGCAGCCGTGGAGCCCAATATGGGCATCTTCGTGAGTACCCCATAATGGGCTGCCCTTGACGTGCCCATGATGGGCTCAACACATGGGTCCATGGGTGCGCACATGGGGAGCCCATGGGTAGTCCATGGGCAGTCGACCAAGTGCCCGCGGGTGTCCATGGCCCATGGGCGGATCAACCAAACTCCAACAACAACAACAAGAGTGCGCAATACTCCTTTAATTGTGCAACAAATCTCGCTTTGCACCCAATCGCTTTTGTCTAGCAGGACCGCTTGGTGTGGTCGCGCCATTGGTTCATCCTTTGTTTGATTGTTGCTGGGTGCGCTTGGTATGGAACCCGTGCGCCATAGCCGAAAGCCAACATCTCTCTCCGGCGGATGTCTCTGGACGCCTTTTGACAATGGCGCTGTTTGGATGTCAGCAGGTCTCATCGAGAGTAGCTTTCTGCCACAGCCAGGCGCCCGTCGATTTGGCACTAAATGGGCTGCAGTATGTATTGCCAGCACGTAATGTTGTTGTTGTTGTTGTTGTTGTTGTTGTTGTTGTTTCTCACATTAGCTCTATAGTCCACAAAAAATGGGGAGCCCGTGGTCTCAAAACCCGGCACACACGACGCCGCGGGAAAAGAAATATAAATAGGGTAAATTGCAAACCACTCGGAACAAGAAAACAAAATGATAGAAAGAAAAGAACAGGTATCGCACCGACCTTTCGAGAAAAGAGCCCTCGGAAACCGATCAAAATAAAACAAAAACAAAAAAAAGGAGGACGCTTCCCACACCCGCCTAAAGAAAATTCAAAGGGTAACGTACCAGCACCAGGCACTACGCACCAGGGCATGGGAGTAACGGAGCANCAAAGAGGCGGCAGATGGGCAGACAGCCAGACGTACAAAAAACGAAGGCAACAGCAAAGCGAGATCACGGTACCCAACACAGCAGAGTAGGCAGGGAGGTCATGAAAAGAAAAGATACACAGCACAGAGGCAGAAAGCAATACAAAGGACATACATAAAGGAGTATAGCATACAGCAGGGAGGGAAACAGGGCGCAACAACATCAGCCGGGT